TATTTAGTATTATACGGCTCATTTTAATTCTAATGATGAACTGGTCTGTAACAAGTCCATTTAAACATTCATGCTTTCAATTCTTGTAAATATGCCAGCGATAGCAGACAAATAAAAGAAACAAAATGGTCAAAAGTTTGACATAAATTGGACTCATAATAAGAGAATTATGCGTGTGTGTATTATGAAATCACTACAGCTATACGAATCTTAAATTGGCAATTTTGTCAGTGGATCGTGACGTAGTCATGTACAACTCTCCTATTTGTGGTGTACGTACAAAGATGTCCATAATTTCTGTTTTTCTTCCAATACCTTATCCCTTTGGGCGATACTCAAAATATATTATTGATAGCATGTTTTTATAGGTCCTCTAAAGAGTATATGGTCCCCCCCTCTCTCTCTCTCTCTCTCTCTCTCTCTCTCTCTCTCTCTTCTGTAACTTTGGGGACGTTTTTCGACTTGTAATGTTTGTCAGATAGTTTTATTCATGGTTTTACTTTGGGAGAAGGTTCCTTTCTTTTCCATATATTCACAGGGGCGAAGACAAATTATCACTCTTACAGGTCCGAGGGAAACGCCGCGAACTCAACTTCCAACATCTATAGACCGCCACCAACAGTCTGATATTCCAAGACATTCTCTGAAAGATAGAATTGCCCGTAATGTCACGTGACTTTGTTTCAGAAGACTTCTTTTCATGTATTCAGAATACTTGATATGAATATAAATAAATAGAAATAGAGTACATGGAAGAAATCAATTATGTAGATGAAATGAATTAAGTGCTTTAGGAAATCTGACAAACATAACATTATGAATTTATCTGATGGCTAAAAATGCTTTCTCATTAATGGGATATTAACCATATTGATCCTCTTTTCTAGAGCACGTTTTACTTATTCATTCTGTATACATTAGTAATACATATTTAGACGTTGGAAAGCTGGAATGACGTGCATGCATAATTCATTCATTGAACATTGAAAAGGAAATCGGAGGGAGTGCCTAAAAAACTTTCACTATAATATGTAACTGTGTTTTGGATAACGAATGTTGGTATTGGTGGTGGTGGTGACGTTGTTCCTGGTGATTATGGTTGTATAATGCTGAATATATTGATACGAATTCCGATAAGTATTACAAGGACGTAGCTAAATTATGAAAGCAATATGCAAACGATTCATGTCTTTAAAAAAAAAGCTATTACATTCTTTGCTACAAAATGCACCAAGCACCATTAAACCAATACAACAGTCATAATAATCTTTATCTGATCATTATACAGAATCTAAAAATCCATTTGATTATAGTGACAACGGATTACCCATCTTGCGCTCCTTTTGAGCACAAAACTACTGTGTGCCCGAGTGATGATACTCTAAGAGGGAGAGAATCGACATGAGCACTTCTCACTCGAACAACAAGAAACATCTTCGGTATCAGTGAAACTGCAAACAGCTACCAAAATCATTAAGAAGAACCGAATTGATTCTAGTGGCAAAAATATTCTCCTCCTTACACCACTTTAGAGCACAATATTGGTGTTTGAGTGTTGAGACTAAGAAGAAACGGAAGAGATGAGCACTTCTCACTCAAACAAGAAGTGTCATCTTTGGAATCGGCGGAGACCTTGACCATGGCATGTTTCGAGGACGTCTATTAGTAAGATATCACAATCATGATGGCGCAGATAGTGTCCCCCTCGAGATGCGACGTGATAGGTGATCTCTGCTCTTGCTCCTATAGCTCGTCGCTGCATAATGATCACATTAACTTGTTTGTGATCAGATCCATGCTGAGTTTCGGAGAGAAAAGCGAGACGCTAGGTAGATTTATTTCTTAAATGATTGTTGCAAATGACCATGTGTTCACAGGGTCACGAAATGTATACATTTAAGGAATGCAAATAATGTCATCGGTCTATAATATTTCGCTTATAATTATATTCAAATTAAATTTGTTCAGATAGCGTCACCGTCGGGGGTAAACGAGAGAAGGGTACTCTCTATTCCCCCTCCTCCGTCCCGACCGCATTCTCTCTCTCCCTCCACCTCTCTTGTTCCTCGGCTGTCGCTGCATTAATAATCATAGAAATGGATTCAATAAGCAAACGACACTGTATTTCGACTTTAAAAACAACGAGATTGTTGCAAATGGCAAGTTATGTTCAGAGGGTGACGAAAGGTGACGAATATTGAAAATCTTAGGAAACGGCATGTCTTTCTTGAACTGGCTGAGACACTGCCCCCCCCCCCCCCCCGAACAGGATTGTCTACTATTCTCTCGCTCCTCGTCACTGCATAAAAATCACATTTGGCTGATATTTATAGTAAATGCAATAAGGTTTTGCTGTACAGTATAAACTATTTAGACTTGCTCCAAAATGGTCTACTGTGTCCAGTGGTGACGAAATTGATTAATTAAGAAAACGAAATGTTTTGTTCAATATGTATCAAACTAGCTCATACCGTCACCCGATGTTCTTTTGACTTCTCTGTTGTTGATGAATATAAATCATTGTCTTAGATTTAGAAAAATTAGTGACAAGCCGTAAACAGGCAAAATGAATTTGACCTTGAAAACATAATTGTTGCAAATGATCTATTGTTATTTGAGTGTGACGAAAATTGATATTATGAGAAATTGAAATGTTTTTTTTATAAAAATCATATCAACTAGCTCAGATACCGTCCACCAGGCCAAGTGTTATATCCACCCTCTCCCCCCTCCCCAACACTCGTCGCTGCATGATATTTAGTTGAGATTTAGAAAGAAACGGTGTAACTTAAATTGTAAACTTTGGAACATGTTGAACACAATATGATTGTTACACTTAACTTATACAGGGTTACGAAAATTGATATTTTGGTTTATGAAATTACACACTAAAAATGAGAGAGGAATGGGGGGGGGGGTTAAGAAAGGGCAAGGACAAAGTGTGTTGATCATATTTTATGTGAAGATGGTGTAAATGATCTGACAGAAAATGCTTATCGGAAGAAAAAATGAACGGAATTAATCATGTTAATTGATCTTGCATCCTCCGTTTTATAATCCAATTAACAGTTTTCATCACAGTGCGCTTTTGCTGCATTAATGCTCTCATAATTCCTGAGAAGCATTCAGACTTCCTCTTCTTTCTCCGGGGTTCTTCATTCCATGCGACATCGATGTGATAAATCTCTTTACCTTCTGTTCCTTTCTCGATCTAGGAGGGTGACGAATTAAGAAGCAAAAACTGGTAAACCGATTGCGGTGCTTCCGTGCTTGCGTATGTCACTTCATATATCGGCGATGACTTGATTATAAACGTGAACTTGTGGATGTTATAATAGTTCGAGGTTCAGACGATCAGGGCCTAAGCATGATCTATTTGGATGGGTAGACTTGTGAACGAACACGAGCTCAAATTGCATTGGCATTTCAAAGAGAATATGTACTGTTTTCACTGTGGAAGATTTGAAGAAAACTTCAGTTGTTGGATGATATTTGTACTTTTCTAAATTAAAAAAAACATACCTTTTAACCCGATCATTAGCAGGGCTGGTGAATTTCGGTTTAAAATGAAAGTGTGCACCAAAGAAAAATATATCATGATATGAATATATTGTATTGTAAATATACAATAATTCATATAAGAATGGAATATACTGTCATTCTAACTGGGAGACTTAATGAAAATTTTGCAACCGAGTGACGTAATCGAGTGATGAAAATGTTGACAACTAACGTGTACGCAACACCTAAGTGTAAACGGGAACCATCAACCTTGAAACTTAATTTTAGAAATTGTATGAAAAAAATACACTTCTATTTTTTTTCTCTCAATGAATTCACAGTTTTTTAAACAATGATCTGCATTGAATGTTTACTAAAATTATGATAATCATTGTATAATGCTCTCAAAACATGTAGAGCCTGTGTTATATATTGCTGGTAACTTCTTGGTTATATATGTGAAAACTAGAGTCGGTCGGGAATAACACGTCACTCATACAAACGAGACCAACCAAAGACCCACAATGGACCGGACAAAAATCACATAACCCCCAAATGGCTAGGAGGTCGGGTTGTAGTCTGATTTGAGTTGCTTTCGTGTGTTTAATGATATCTTTGTCACACCGCCAAACTGCCTGCAGAACGACCCCAAACCGACCTATTTAATGACATGCCTCGTAATGTATTTTTGTTATAGGTATGTTGTCAGTCTCGTGTCGGTCTCGTTCGTGTGGCTAAGGTATGATGTTTAAGTTGATAGCATAACGAAAGGGCATTCAAAAGGGGGGAACCTGTTACAGTGGACACCTCTACAAAAATACGGGTGGTCAGTTATACCCGCTCTCTTAGATCGGGTCACGACATGCATACGTGGTATCCAAATCTGTTTCTTCAGGAAAGCTAGCCATGATCCATCTATTTATTGGTTCTGATGATACAGGGTTCATGAGTCACTGCATGGAGGTGCTGGGAATCACCTGTTAAGGAATCCACGTCACAAAATGACTCATTTCATGCATCATCCAACCTTTATATTATGTAAACTAAAATGTATCTAGCAAGGCAATGTGATTGCAGGGTGATATAAGTGGGTAGTATTAACAAGCATACATTGGGCTTTCCAACAAACACAATCGTATTGACTTTCGAGAAACCAACTTGAATTAATTTCCAGGACCCTATTGTATTGTTTGTAGAAATAATAATGGTCAGATTGCGAAGCATATCACTCTGATATATTTCAATATATAGGTGACACTTGTTTCTATTCAAATTGCTTTAGGTGGATTTATTGAAAGCCTTAGCGATCCATTTAACAATATTTTTCGATGGGATTATATAATTGAAGAAGGGCTTGCACAGGTAGTGGAGTGGGGTGTGGGCGGACGTGTCACACGATTACACCTCCCCCCTTCCCCATGAATTCACATACCCATCTTTATCAAGCTGATGTGACGTCACTGAAATGATGATACAAAACAAAAATTAAAAAAAGTCTATATCGTGTTGAAGTAGCACCATTATTTTGGTTGTTTATTTGTTCGTGTTTTTTTTATACATGAAACTGTTAACACTCCTTGTTTAAGTTACACACTTATATTTACAATACTCTGACAGGATGAGAAAGAAAACAACATTCCAAGTGAGAATTGCTTCCACTCTTTACAAATATATAATTACGTGGTCAAACTGGCCAGTATGTCTGTACAATAATGGGTTGAGAAATTGTATTGTCTATTTCAATTCTTGGAGATGTGGGGCGCTTCTTCAAGTAAAGCACTTTTTGTTTGTAATTATGACTAGTTTGTGTATAATATGTGGCAACCTGCCATTTTTGTGTTATATTGTTATGCCTACTTTCCATAATCCATCCAAACGATTCATTATCAAGCAATTATATATAGATGGGGAACGTAAGCGGTGAGATACATTAAAAACCATGTCCGTTTGACTTATAAATCTAATTGGAACGCTTAAATTGGAGGTGATAAATCCACAATTTATATATCGATGTGAAATCGAATATCAGCGCTTAACCTTTAGATTGTCTGCATCGTCCCTTTGTGAACCCGTTGTTTGTCTCTTGAAATACTCTCAAACTCTAGATCAGGTGTTCGGTATGGATCTAGGGCATGTTATCGTGTTATAGCATTACGGAATAAGATCTTAAACGTGAGTATCACCCTGCAGCTTTCTAAAACTCTAGTAACCGATGCACAACACCTGCTTGAGAATAAGATAAGGATCTCTAAAGTCCAAGCTACCATATTAACGTCCTCTTTATCTATACTTAAAATCTACCCTTTCTTTGTTCACCAATCCTGTTCCGATACATCAGTGCCATTTTGTTAGAATAATATACAAAACGGTCCCCATTGTATTTTTGGAACAATATTTAGACTCTTTTAGCGCCAATTTGAATACCTAGTATTACTCTTATTATTGTGACGTATGGCCGTTGAATTAGTGAGATTTCATAACATAAGGTACCTTCTGACAAGAAGATTCTGCAGTTGTGCTTTTGACCTACTTTTAAACAACAAACTAAAAAATAATCGAATACAGCGTGAATCTAGAACGAACGTCAGATATGATGTAATAAACTTTGAACTTACATATAATATCATAGGTAAATATTGCACGTTTTCCTGTGGTAAGTGATAAGTATTTGGTGAAATACTTTTCCCTGAAAATTGTCTTTAAATATTCTCTAAATTAATATTTTTAATATGGATGGATGTCGTTATACCGTAAGAAAGAGTAAACAACTAAAACACCAAAAAGGTCGTTCATTAGTGCATAACGTCTGCATAATATGAGAGCAATGTAAATTGGTGTTTTTCTTTCCATAATAGAACATGCACAAGGAAGAAAACGAACCATATTTCAATCTCCATGCAGTTGAACGAGGCTGATTCCAATATTCAAAAGAATTGTTTAAGTGTGTTTTTGCATATAAAAAATCACACAGCTCTTGATACCTTAATTGCTTTTATATCACGGATCTGCACTAATCATTTATATCGACGATGGGTTAATCTGGCACCCCAAAGTGTTGTATAAGTCCATGACAAAAGCATACAATTGTTTTCCTATTTTTCTGCAAATCATCATAATTATGCGACGATAAAATCATATTCAAACGTAAAGTTAGCACATTCTTATTGTATAATCCATATAAGTTCTTGAAAACTGTTGGAAAAAGGAAATGAAGAATATTCTTTTGAGATTAATCAAATTTCTTGTCTGATTATCGGTGATCCACCTGTAGCTTTTAATAAAATCGCAAACGTGAATTATTCATATTCTTTGAACCGAATCAAAATCATTATGATCAAACGGTACGATATAATATTGTGTGACTAATGTTCAAATACAGAATAAGTTTTCTTCTAAGCAGTCTCGTTTACATTGTAAATAGTTGTTTCCTTCTTCGCGTCAAATATTTACTAGAATTTTTTTTAAACGTTCCCATGGCCCTATCTATGCGTACTAAAATCAAACGAATTAAAAAATATCTTAGCTGATTATCTTCCGCCCTGCTCAAACATTTTACCCCGCAATACATACATTATAATGCATAAACGATGTTTAAAAAACAAAAGGACCACTTGACACTAAGTACTTCATATCTTAGCTCTTGAATGAAGAAAAACATAAGCCTTCATATCGTAGCTCTTGAATGAAAAAAAATTAAGCCATGCCTATCTGCTTGTTGTTTTTTGTATGTGCAGGTGCGATGATATATAAAGAAGATGTAGTAAAACTACAGGACTTAGTGGAACGACATTCGTTTGTCACAGCTAACGTACTACACAACACACTTGGAGGAGGGGGAGGGGAGACTGTAGATTGAAACGTCTCATCTCAAAGTGAAAACATGTAATACAAGAATGAAGACGACACATAACTACGATGAAAAGTTTTACGTGATGCTATTTCTCAATGCTGCTAATCCTTCACTGTGTGTCTGTCCTAGAGTTCCTAACGATGGGTTATGAGCGAGAGAGTGGTGATGTTGCGAGGCTTGTCCCATTGGCTCCACCATCCTCGGTCTACACTGCTCTTGCGATCTCACAGCAAATCGGTTCACATGGACCGGAATAGGAACAACCAACTTGGAGTTTCCACCGCCGCTACCACCTCCACCGCCCCCGCCGCTGCCTCCATTCCCTCCACGGTGCCCACCCCCTAGGATAGACGAGTGCGTTTTCAGTCGCTTCCACTTGGCGCGGCGGTTCTGGAACCATATCTTGACCTGGACCTCGCTCAATTGCAGAAAGCGTGCGATGTGTGCGCGTTCGCTCAGCGTCAGATATTTCTTGCCGATGAATTCCTTTTCCAGAGCCAGCAACTGATCGCTCGTGAATGCCGTCCGTCGTCGTCTGCTCTTGTTGCTTCCGTTTGTCCCGTTGCTTAGGTTGTTGGCGTCGCCATTCTCTTTTCCGCCGAGTTCACCCACCGACTTCCTACCGCAGTCTTCGGGTGAGGAAGCTTCGCTGTCGTGAAGAAGATCGTCGTCGTTATCATCAAGACCATCGTGGCCTTCGTGACGATCACTGGGACTCTTGTCTGTCGAAGACAACGAAAGAAAAACATAAAGATTAAGTTTTGTTTTAAATAGATATATTGCAAATGATGACAAAGTGAAAGTCAGAGTAAATGTCAAACCTCTGTCTTCTCTACTTCACAAGCAAGCACATGGAAATGGAAATGGTCAGACTTGACGAAAAGACATAGTGAAGAGAACTGAAAGGGTCTATGAAAGATAAAAAAGGAGAGAAGAGTGAGAGAAAAAAGATAGAACAAGACAGAATATACCAATTGGTCACTAGTTTAAAAAGTAAATAGAAGGTCAACACCAGTTGGACACTATAAAAGAAGGTACAAAAGGAGGTCATGTACATGAGATGGAAGGAAGGTAGAATATGCGACATCGAAAGACCGAGACGAAATATGAGGGATAGAAATGAGAGTGGGAATTAGCGTGTATAGGCTAATCCTCCTTGGGCTTCGTCATTATACTCATCATGAGATCAAAGCAAACCGACCCGCGTCCACCTGTACGTTCATTTAAGCCATACCGTAATGACACTTCAATCTGAAAACTCGGCAATAACTACAGTCCTATTACTCCAAATGCAAAATGATCTACTCAGTATTCCGTTTCGTCCAGTTCAAATCAGTTTTGGTCGGTCGGCCATTTCCCAGCTTTGTTCCCTTGAACATCGTATTTTCTCAGCATAGCACTGGGATAATACCAGTATTAGTGATACGTCTGGTATAAGACCAGTTACCCTAAGCCGCAATATCATACGACCTAAATTACTGGGATTAAGGATCAGAGCATGCGGCTTGTGAGGAATCCCTTCGGCAAGAGCTAGTATATCACACAATCTTAGACGGCCTTTCATGGCAATCTTGTGAGATAGCTTGCATGTCAATACATTCTTGTATTGGATGTTAGGAAGGGGTAAGGAAAATGCTGGAAGATGGCGCCAATTTGGCTAAGCTCATCAAACGAAGTTTGAAGCAGGCAGCCGACATACCACCTGGTAGCATCCATTTCGTTTCTCTGGCTGTCTCTAAGTAATCTCGTTCCATTTTGCAAGGATTTAGTTATCGATTGAGAGAAGGGATTCGATGTGAATTGCAGCAATTTGTTTCGGAACAGATTTACGAGAACCGAACGCAGTATAGTAATTCGCAACGTATGAAAATGGTAATATCGTAAGGAGTTGAATTTCGAGTAGAGGCACGTTCACATCCGAATAACAAGCATCAGTCCTCGATAGAATATACTATTAAACATAGTTTTTTAGTCTCGAGGGCGACTTTCATATTCTCACCAAAACATGATGCTTCTTATATTAAAAAAAAAAAAGAGTTTACTAGAATGTTTTAACATCTTACCTAGATATGAAACAAAATCCTGTGGCCTAGTATTGTGCATTACTGGTAAAACAAATATGTTACAGTAAACTAGCTAAGAATTAGTCCAGTACCTAATTTCATAGTTTGAAATCTGTACTTTGCGTGCCAATGAAGGTCTTCAACATAAAAACTACACACATCTATTAAAATCAGCAAGTGTCTAATAAAGACATGAATTTATAACATTTATTAGACAATTTTGATGCTAGACTATGAATGCTGTACTGATATTCTGACCGTATGTTGTTTGTTTGCTAGAAATTCACAGATTAAAATATATAAAGAAAAATAAATATTGTGATACCACATTCGTGTTGATAGTAATACTAAAAGTGGTGTCAGGAGTGGGGTTCCCCATTCTTTTAATTTTGTACTGATAATGCACGTTATTGCTGCTGCTGCTCCAGTGCACATAATTTTTACCCTATAGGGTTTAGCTCCGACATTCATGGTAAAAGCAAATGTGTCTCCATGTATTACACACCCGGATCATGTAGATTAAGTATTGTAATCTTAGACGAATGCCGTTCCAGGGCCGTAATACTGGACCGGAACAAGAAGTGTTTTAATATGACCTTAATCGGAAGTCATGAACACTAAACACTTTAATTCATATACCAGTCTTTCCATTTCCATTAACTGTAAAATCTTTTGCAGGTTGTTTGTTTTCCTTCCTTTATTAAAGTACTCTCAATTTCTATTAACTGTAATTTTGTTTGCTGGTCGGTTGTAAATCCTCTACTAATACTACGAAGTTATAACTTTCCAATATAACTATTGACCCCAGTATCAACGAAGATTTAAAAAAAAAACTTCTCATTTTTCGACTTATTTTATGGCAGTTTTCTTTCCTCTTCCATTAAATGTAATTTTTTTGCAATTGTATTTGTTTTACATCTAATCTAATTCGATATCATTATGGAAACGCAATAATAGCTTTTTGATAAGCCTACATGTATATTCACATTATCAAAGACAAAACGCATTGCCTACCTTTCTTACGACTGCTTTATACCAGTTCTTTCCTTTCCAATAGTTGTTAAAGTATTTGAAGATTGTTTATTTGTTTTTACCTTCTAATCGACCTCACTCTGCTAACGAAATAATTAGTTTTCAATGAATATATTTATCACAATATTTACAAAGATAATAATGTTTTGCTACTCTTGTATCCCTTTCCTTCCTAGTGCCCCTCATCTTGAAAAACTGACACTTACGCACCATTATAGAGCCTCATATCATAATTCGTATTATCAAAAAGATAAATATTTGATGGGAACACGGAGAGCGTTATAATCTTCTTAAAGTATACGGCGGGTTAAGCCACGCAAAACAAACACCAAAGTAGGTTTGAGCCCAGTTCTTTTCCATTGCATCCACGATTCGGTTTTAGTGGTGGGGACCAGGGGGGACCTCCTTAACCCTAATCCCTCTTCATCTCTCTTTCATCCTAAACAGATGCTGAAATAGATATAGCCTTGGAAATTAATAGTCGCTCTACCATCAAAAGGACTAAAAGAAAATTTCTTAACGAAGGAAAAAGGGGAGTATTTTATTACGAAATCCCTGAGTTAGAGATACCCTGTTCAGCCTTGTTATGCGGCTGTGGGCCTGGGATATCTATATGGCTAAGAGCAGGAGGGGCTGCTAGCATTCTCTCTATACCGCGTCGGCCTCTCCTCTCCCTCCACACCGCTCGCTGGTATTTTCACAAGCCGTTGCTGGAGGGGGCCGGCAACCATCGGCAGAGCGACTGTATCAGTCGGCTGGGGGAAGAAAACAAGCCCTTTTGTTGGCGGGGGTATCATTGGCGATAACAAAACCCCGTCCAAACAAAAACGACAAAGCGAGCTTGGCCTAATGCCGAGACCCGGGGGAGAGGGTACATATGATATGTAGAAGCATGTGTGCCATCATGATAGGTGTACAGTTGGGGTAGATCAACGACAAAACCGTGTTATTAACCGTGCTAATGCTAGACAAATGTTATCACCATTTATCAACCATTTGCTTCCACGATCATCACGATCCTACCCATTGTTAGTATTTCTTGACAAGGACAAAAAAAAAAGAACCCGAACTTCAGTAAAACTTTGTCCTCCAGTGAAATGGGGGTGTCATTCCTCTCTCTCTTTCTCTCGATTTACCAGCCGATTCATTAACGTCAAGATGATTGATGATGGAAATCAATAAAATAGATTTCATATCCTCCCTAAAAATGGATGTCCTTATTTTCACTTCTTTCCCTGCATACTTACATAATTGAAAAGACTGTATACTTCATCACGCAAATAACGCTCATATATTTAAAGAATACCAGATAATAGAAAAGTAATAATTGAACCAGGTTTGAAAAGAATTCTGAATGACATTCTACTGATGAATTAATCACTTCACTTCGTTTAATTTCGCATTAGGTGACTTACGCATCTATTACTCTTAGGTATGAAATGACAACATCTACATTAAGGTGTCACAAACTTCGTTGTATGAAAATGATAAATGCAAGCTGCACATAACATTGTAATTAAATGATAACTATCTTCACAGAAACTCTTTATGCTTGTATTCTCAGTATTCAGTAAGCAACCGTTCTTTTCAACGACATTCCAGTAGTAACCATTTTAACAAGAGATGCAATGAGTATCAAGGCTCTTTCTGCAAATATGATTTCATCCTTCTGATAATTTCATCAACCGCGCCAAACATGGATGGTAGAGATATTACTCCACCACTGTCATGTCTGAGTCAGAGTTGTTACGAAGAAAACTGGTTTATGCGGTTTGGATCTTTAAGCATGCAGCCATCAATTTCTGTGCGGTTCTAAAAAGTTCCTTAATATTTATGGAACGCACACTTATTAACCGAATATGAAACATGGAAGACTGCTCGTTCCTGGCGCTGCAGAACCCCCAATTAAATCGATTTTCTACAACACGTTCAGAATGCGTCATTTCATGAAATGTAAAAATATTTTCATACAAGTGAGCAACTTTCCTATTGATATGTTTACTAAAGAACGTAAATCATTTTTCGATCATTACCCATATCCTTTTCATCCCCCTCCAGAGTTGGTCATGTATTTACAAAATGAATTATTGCGTATAACGAGCATCGTCATATTCGCATGTGAATATAGAAAAATGATGATGATGATGATGATGATGATTCATCACAGCATGTGTATGGCGCCATATAAATAAACTGAATTCAATGTAGATGACTGAGAAGAAACATCAACAGCAAGCCAAAGAAGAGAAGAAAAATACGAATTGAATACTCCGACACTTAGCGACGAAAACGTTGTCCATCAACTGATGCAGGGAGAGAGTAAAATGAAGTAAAGCAGAATAAACATGATGATCGCGACTTCATCAAAATAATGGGGTGGGGAAGCGATGGGAAAATCTGGTAAAGGGACGAATGGCGAATGAAATAAGTGATTAAAGAATAAAGAAGATTTTGGATGTAGATATAGCTTAAGATTCAAGTGATGAGACGAATGAATATGAATTAATATATCGAAGTAAATACAAGTTTTTTTATTGTAAAGATAAAAGGCTGACGAATAGGACAGATAGAGAGAGAGAGAGAGTGTGTGTGTGTGTGTGGGTGTATGTGTGTTGTGTGCGCGCGCGCGTGTGTGTTGTGAGTGTATTTGAAAGCGAAAAAGAGCGAGACAGTGAGACGGTTAGACAGAGAGAGAGAGAGAGAGAGAAAACAGAGACACAAAATTTAAACAATGATTAACATCATTTTACCAGGCGGAACAAGGAGCAGCAAAAATGGTAGTAGTTGTAATAAGACCGGTATTACAGGTGGTGGTGGTGGTGGTGGTAGCAGATCAGTAGCAGATCATTCAATTGTCATCGTTTTATATCGGTAGAGAATAAACTTTGAATGTAAATCCTGTTACAGCACACCAGTCAGATATCAAAGGCTAAGTAGCTCTTATAATATCACACTTACTATTCCGGCAAGGTACACAAACCTGCAGACGATACTATCATTTCGATTTTTGTTAAACAGGAAATTGCATGATTGTAATTTAATCACGGCATGTAAATCTATTTGTAGCAGTACTGGTCTTATCTATAAGGGTTCTCCTCAACTTTTGAGCGTTCAAACAGTATAAATTCTGTCGTTTGTGCATACGAGCTCACATTCCCATCATCAAATCTGAAATATTCGTCGAAATATCGACCACTCTATTACCACTATTATTGTTCCGCGTGATTACAATCTAGTCATTGCATGTCAATATATATGTATCACAACTGTTTTTATTAAACATAATTTTATCAGCTCTTGATCTTTCAAACCGTATAATCTCTCTCTTACATAATACACACGAGCTCACAACAATTTTATAAAACCAGAAACATTCGTCGAAGAAAAAAAACATCTCAATTACTACCAGTGTAATGTTTGTCATCAAAAGCGGTGTGTACTCGTACCGATGTGCAAATCGTAAACAGGGCTCTAATTTACTGGGAGTTACCAAAATAGATGTAACAGAGGGGAGTAATAGACCATCGCCATTAGTGCGAGTAATTAGCGGCTCACACGGTGTGACCTTCCTAATGACGCATGCATGCACGCGCCAAGATGGAGTTGCCTGTGCTTCATGTG